CCACCCTCTAAACACCCTAGGCAGCGTCCTCTTTCCTATCCCCCCAAAACCTAACCCAAACCCCACCCCAACCCTAACCCTAACCCTCATCCTAAGGAGCACACAGATGCTTTGACCTCCAGACAAGGCAAAGCGCCTCCTGCGCCAGGAAGGCCCCCGTGCAGCCTGGGGAAGGGAAGTGAGAGAGGCAGCCAGTGCCAGTCTGTTTGTGGCTGCCCCTGGCACCTGGAGGCAAACTGGCCAGAAACGTGGTTTGTTGCCAAACCCCAGAATCGTGGGGGCCTGGCTGGGACAGTACGTGCGCCCTCCCTCCTGCTTGTCAGGACAGGACAGCTTTGGTCAGGACAGGCAAGTGTCATTCTGGAGCAGATTCCTAGGGAGAGTGGTGGACCCTGTACGTTACTGTGCAAAGTGGAAACTGTTCATTGTACTGATTGCAAGAGAGAAGTACCCATCATTTCAATGATTCAGAGATGTCAAGTCTGTCCTAACCCACCACCTAGAAAGCGATAGCACCTTGTGCGTCTCCTTGCTGATCGCATATCAGGTGATCTTCCCAGCCATCATGCCATGGTCTGGGGGAGGCCCCCACCCCACCCCCACATTTATTTTTATTTACGTATTTCTATTGTTTAATCCTCCCCTGAGGATATATATATTTTTTTAAATATATTTTATTGATTTTTTACAGAGAGGAAGGGAGAGGGTCAGATTTCCCTAGCTTCACTTGAACGCGAGTGTGCATGTGTTTAGTTTCATTTTGTCACATATGTAGGTTCCTCTGCCTCCAAAGTTAAGTTACAGAACAGTTCCATCACCATAAGATCGCTCCTGGTGCCCTTTTATAACTACATCCATGTCTTTCCTGTATCCCACCTCTTTTTTATTTAAATATATTTTATTGATTTTTTACAGAGAGGGAGAGGGAGGGTTAGAAACATTGATCAGCTGCCAACTGCACACCCCCTACTGGGGATGTGGCCACAACCAAGGTACATGCCCTTGACCAGAATCGAACCTGGGACCCTTCAGTCTGCAGGCCGATGCTCTATCCACTGACCCACACCGGTTAGGGCATGAGGACATTTTTTCCACTGCTTTTCTGAGCGTGGAAGGGAGGGGGGAGGCGAGAGAAAAAGGGCAACATCCATTGGTTGCCTCCTGCAAGCACCCCAACCAGGGGCAGGGAGGGAACCCACAACCCAGGTATGTGCCCTTGACCGGGAATCAAACTTGTGACCCTTTCTTTGGTCTGTTGGCTGACGCTCTAACCACTGCGAGCAACTGGCCTGGGCTATTTATTTTTTTAACAAGGGGGAGGGCAAATCCCATGGATGAAGCCACTGAGGAGGTGGCGTGACCCCTCCTCCTGGGAACGGTCACAGGTGGTTTATTTCCAGGCCAAACTTGGAGTGAAATATTGGGCTCTCTGTTGGGCAGTTCTGCTTGTTGCACCCCAAGTTCTAGAAAAGCGAGTCCACACGTAGTAAACAACGCGCCGTTGCTAAGTGGGGTTTATCCCAATAATACGAAGATGGCAAGTTAGAAAATCTCTATAAATTCAACCGTGTCTCCATAACAAGGAAGGAAACCCATATAATCATTTCTGGGAAATGCCAAGGTTTGGTCAAATTCAGCATCGAATGCTGATGTCTCAAAGCCTTAACAGCCCTGGCCAGGTAGCTCAGTGGGTTAGAGCATCGTCCTGATACGCCAAGGCTGCAGGCTCAATGTCTGGTCAGGGAACCATGAAAGTATAAATGGAACAACAAATCGTGTTTCTCTTCCTCTCCCACTCTCTTTCAAATCAATAATTAAAAATCGTTTTAGCCCTAGACGGTTTTGCTCAGTGGATAGAGCATCAGCCTGGGGACTGAACCATCCCAGGTTCAATGCTGGCCAAGGGCACATGCCCAGGTTGTGGGCTCAATCCCCAGGAGGGGGCATGCAGGAGGCAGCCAATCAATGATTCTCTCTAATCGTTGATGTTTCTATCTCTCTCTCCCTCTCCCTTCCTCTCTGAAATCAATACAGGAATATATATATTTTTTAAATGTCATGGATATACATAAATATTTTTTAAAATGGTTTTAGCAAACGAGGCCTATAAAGGTAATTCACTAATGTAAACAGTCAGGGCTAGGGGCTGGCATTCTCTGAATAGTGAAATACTAGCTCTGCTTCCCTCAAGTCAGAATGAACACCCGGTGCTGTGCCAGTGAGGAGGGCAGCAACTGTGTGGACTGAGGCCGTTTCTTTTTCTTACGCGGCAAGAACTCGGGGAGCTGAATGTCGGTGCTGAAACAGTTGCTCAAAAATTTCATCCAAGGCCTAGGATCCTGTAGTTTTCCATTTCACCAGGTGTGGCTTCTGTCAATCGTCTCATGGTTGCAAAATGACTACCACACCTCTGGGCGCTGCATCCACATTCCAGGCAGGAGGGAGGAAGGAATAATATTTCTATCAGGAAAGCAGAGGCTTTTTCTTCGTCTCTGGCAGACCTCCACTGGAGCCTCCTGGGACAGAACGGGGCCGTGTGACCACCCCAGCTACAACTGCGTCTTAGAGGCCAAATGTTCTGAGATGGACGCACATCTACCTCAGATGACCACTGTCCCCAACACAGTGGTGCTCTGGAAGTGCTGGCCAATGTGCGTGTGTTTTTTCTTAAAGTTTTTTTAAAATATATTTTATTGATTTTTTTACAGAGAGGAGGGGAGAGGGATAGAGAGTTAGAAACATTAATTAGAGAGAAACATCCATCGGCTGCCTCCTGCACACCCGCTACTGGGGATATGTCCGCAACCAAGGTACATGACCTTGACCAGAGTCGAACCTGGGACTTTCAGTCCGCAGGCCAACGCTCTATCCACTGAGCCAAACCAGTCAGGGCAGATTTTTGTGGTTTTTTTTAAAAATTTGATTTGAGAGAGAAACAGCATTTGTTGTTCCACTTTTTTATGCATTTATTGTTCGATTCTTGTATGTGCCCTGACCAAGGATGGAACCCACAACCTTGGTGTGTTGGGATGACGCTCTAACCAACTGAGCCACCCAGTCCCAGCCCAATGCGGGTTTTAAGAAAAAATGAAATAAAAGGCTCCCTATATGGAAAGGAGAGGCAAGCTTTTTATTTCCAACTGATACGACTGTTTACCTAGAAAACCCAATAAACTGAGAGGCTGTTAGAGACCTTAGAGCAGTGGTTCTCAAACTTCTGGCCCTTTAAATACAGTTCCTCATGTTGTGACCCAACCATAAAATGATTTTCGTTGCTACTTCATAACTGTAATGTTGCTACTGTTATGAATCGTCATGTAAATATCTGATATGCAGGATGGTCTTAGGCGACCCCTGTGAAAGGGTCGTTCGACCGCCAAAGGGGTGGTGACCCACAGGTTGAGAACCGCTGCCTTAGATTAACTCCGTAAAGTTGTTAGGTATAAAATAAATACACAAGAAGATATATATAATCAACAATGGTCCTATATATCTTAAAACAAAATTACCTAATTTACAAACCCCGTAAAATCACAATGAACTTAAGAATAAATATGAGAACACTTATTAGAAAACTGTAAAATTTCTCTGGTTAGAGGTAGATTTGAATGACGTTATCTACCACATTCTTTTATGTGAAGACGGTATTACATGGAACTTCATTTTTCACAAACTAGTCAATTCTAATCAAAATCCCAATGACATATGCAGGGGCGTGAAGAAGTTAAGTCTGAGAAAATGACACCTGGCTCCCCTGGAGGAACAGATAAAACAAGATCTTTTAGAAGCTGCTGAAGATGTGGATGTTACAGTGAAGTATGGAGCTACAATCAAAGGAAAGACAGGCCTATGAACGGTGAGGAATGCAATTCAACAGCGATGCAGGGACCTCACATTTTATATCCCAAATAGATAGAGGGGTAAAACATGAATATAAAATATCGAACCAAAAATAGACTTAAGAGGTTTTTTCCAGAGAAACAGAAAGGAAAAAAATCTAATAGACCTTATCACACAGAATTTTAAAACCTCTGTACATAAAAACATGCAGTAACAAAGACAGAAAATGTATGTGCTAAGGTGATATATACGAGTGTATATATATTTATATGTATATATATTAAAAAACAAAGAACGGAATAATGGACAAAAGATAGGAATAGACAATTCATATGAAAGGGGGAGAAGGTAGAAAAAAATGAGTAACATTGTAATGTATCAAAATGCCAAATATGATAAGGGGCGATTGTGCGCTTGCTATGGTGCCCATATACTAAACAACTGGCACTTCAGGGCACACAGTGGACACAGGGCCCAGGACCCATGAAGGTTTTGTTTCTTTTAAAAAGAGAAAATGAGGATGATAACCATGAATCAAGCCTAGACTGTTATTTGTGTTTTCCCAGCACAGATGTGATGTAGAACTTTTCCTATCTGTCACGGAGAAGGGCCCCTGACTGCCAGGTGTCCCCGGGGACCGCACGACGCCAGGCCAGCTCACAGACACTCGGAGGCAGGCGATGGCGCACAGGTGCCCAGGCTCATCGCTGTGTCGTCACCGTGCTCTGAACAAAGACCGTCTGGGTGTCCACTCTGAACAGTGCCTGCGTCCAGATGACGGGCAAGGACGTTCCTACTGATCGGTTCCTTGGTGAGGAAACGTATTACTTCGCAAACACACAACCAAACACATCCTGAGATGATTCCTTAAGCTACTCATTTCCTTTATCTAAAAAATTTCACTTCTAGAAATCTACTCTACGAAAATGCTAAAGTATAACCCAAAAATGCTCCATGAAGAATGATTTATAATGGTGAAAAAAATAGAAATAACCTCAACAGCCAACAAAAGAATATCTAATAGAATACTATGCTTCCACTTAGAATTATGACTCCACAGACAGTGCAGTCACTTGGAAAAAATTCTATGCAGCTAAACGGGGGTGGAGGGGGGGATTAAAATGACGTATCTACTATGTTTAAAGTGATGAAAACAGAAATAATGTATCAAAGTGCGAAATGCAGCTTTATTAAGAATTACGGGTGTTTTCTCTCATTTATTCCACATTCTCTGAAATGTGGTTATCTTGCCTCCACAATTTAGGAAGTATAAGAAAAAGCATTTCATAAACTAGAGTGCTCTATACAAATGTCAAGTATTATCACGGAGAAGGCCTCTTGTACTTGCCGAGAACAGAGCAGAAAGAACGTTAATTCCAGATGAACACCGCCCTCCTGTCCCTGCAGGGAACGTGGGGATGGTGGGGGTGGGGGGGGCTTCTCCCTTGGGGTGGCACTGACTAGCTGAGCCTCGTGGTGCGAGGGGAGGCCCCGCAGGCAGCCCCAGCCTGGGGGGCAGGTGCGCTTCTAGGCCCATCTATCCGGACACTGCACCCATCCTCCCCGACCCACCGGGCTCCGCCTGCCGCCGTGGACCCGGTGCCCGCTCGTCTGATGCTGACTGTGCTTCGGGGACGTGGGTGTGGCCTCTAACGAAGGACTCTGCGGGGAGCCCCTTGTGAGGTGAGTGCAGGAAACCCGCTTTTCCCCAGACTCCCGCCTCTGAGAGCATCCTCCTCGCCAGCAATACAATAATGTCTCCTTGGAGGCACTACTGTTCATAATTCTGGTTTAAAAAATTCTTCCTGTTATTCTAAATATCAGTCCACAGGTGAAATTCTTGATCTAAGTCATGCCAGGAGCCTGAGGACATGATTGACAGACCTTTTACCTGCAGGAAAGACCTAATCCCCCGGTCAGTGACTCCCAATCCCATCAGAGGCAGCAGGACCCTGGGACACCAACCCGACTCCCCACGGGGCATCCCTTCTCCGGGAGGGCGGGCCGCTCCTGGGAGGGTGTCTGCTGCGCACATACAGGAGTCCCTGTGCTCCCCGTTCCCCGGGGAGGCGGCCAGGTGACAAGCACACCAGGCTACTTCCCAGGTTTGCTGCCCAGGGGCAAGTTCCTGCTGGCGGAGGGCTGCACCACACACAGGAGCTCTGCCACGTCCAGGGAGTTTACGGGGTCCACGCCGCCGGCACCCAGCAGGCCGCTGGGAACGCAGTATGTGCTCAGCAGATGCTTGTTGAGCTGGATGGCAAAGGGCTTCTCTTCGCGGTGCGTCCTCTGGTGCTCGGCGAGGTGGGTGCTCCAGCTGAACGCTTCGCCACACTCGTTACATTTAAATGGCCTCTCCCCAGAGTGGGTTTTCTGATGTTTAATGAGACAGTGGTTCTGGCTGAATGCCCGGCCGCACTGGCCGCACTTATAGGGCCTCTCGCCCGTGTGGATCCGCTGGTGCACGATGAGGGACGACTGGCAGCTGAAGGCCTTCCAGCACCGGCTGCAGTCGAACGGCTTCTCGCCCGTGTGGACCCGCTGGTGCACGATGAGGTAGGAGTGGGAGCTGAAGGCCTTCCCGCACTCGTTGCACTTGAAGGGCTTCTCCCCGCTGTGGATCCGCTGGTGCACGGCCAGGTAGGAGTGGCAGATGAAGCCCTTGCCGCAGTCCCCGCACTTGAAGGGCTTCTCCCCCGTGTGGATCCGCTGGTGGAGGGTGAGGCGCGACCGGTTGTTGAAGGCCTTGGCGCAGTCGCTGCATTTGAAGGGCTTGTCGCCGTTGTGGATCTTCTCGTGCACGGTCAGGGACGAGTGGCAGGTGAAGGCCTTCCCGCACTCGCCGCACTTGTACGGCTTCTCCCCCGTGTGGATCCGGTGGTGCCGGGTCAGGTGCGTCCTCTGGTTGAAGGCCTTCCCACACTCGCCGCACTGGTAGGGCTTCTCCCCGGTGTGCACCCGGCGGTGCATGCTGAGCAGCGAGCTGCAGCTGAAGGCCTTCTCGCAGCCCGTGCACTTGTAGGGCCGCTCGCCGGTGTGCGTCCGGTGGTGCACGTTCAGCGACGAGTGGCAGCTGAAGGCCTTCCCGCACTCGCCGCAGAGGAAGGGCTTCTCCCCGGTGTGGCTCCTCTGGTGCTCGAGGAGGTTGGTCCTCCAGGTGAAGGCCTTGCCGCACTCGCTACACCGGTAGGCTTTCTCCCGGGCCAGCGCTG